AATGGAAGGTCTGGATACCAAAACTTCACTCACAGTTTTGAAAGGAGAGTGTCGATACTTATCAGCAAGGTAGAGTGCAGTGTGAACATTTACTTTAGCAATACCCGAAATAGAGGGGTAGCAAGGTTTCAATGAAGAGCAGAGAATCAACACGAATTTAAGTACAGTTTTATTGCATCAATATCAAAAGCAAGATTTCTATCAATGGACCGTTTACTGCTATTGATTCAAATGTTTCCCCCCATTATCCTTCAAAAAAGCAGAATGTATGCTATGTAAGATTATTTTCCAGGCATATCCCATGCCCTCAAATGATTATCCTCAACACCACGGAAGATTATCTGTCAATTTAAGTACAAGGATAAAATAAATATGTACAAAACTTAGAATCACATTCATTACCAAGAACTCCATTAAAATAATCGCACCATACCTCGTTATATTTGAACAGTAATGGGTGTAAAGCTTTCTCCGAGATTGCTTCTTTCTGTTCAGTTCTATCATCACTCTGAACACTTTTATTATTCAACTTTCTAAACCTGCTCTTGAATCAAAGGAAGATCCACAGAAATAAATAAATATAATTATCAATAAAGAAATCTTAACATATATGTCCCAGAAAATCTTAATTTACTTTGGCTTTAAAATAGTACAAGACCAGAGGCTGTCATAAACTGATTTTCACAAAGAGTAGTTCCTTCGTCAGATTACAGAGATTTAATGTATCATGCCAACGGTGAAGGCACATGAAAATTAATTACCTGATGCTCCTTTTCAATAGCTAAAATATCATTCCATTTTCTTAACATTTAAATGGGCAGCAAAACTAACACACATAAATTGCCGCATATGGATTGGAAACGACAGCCTCTGATGGTTTGACGTGAACATGTTCACTTATTAAAAAATAATAATAATAATAACAATAACACTAAACTGATGCTAACAAATCACAATAATGATGAATCAAGGTTTCAAACATAGAAGCATACATAGAATCTATGAGGAAGGGTTACCTGTCAAAGAAGGAACCGCCGGATGGCATTCTCATCCTTCCTGTGCTTTTCAATTTCACACTGTCCGCTGCCCCTTTATCAGGATGCGAATTCTGGGAAACTACGGTGGCATTTCCATTATTTTTTCTTCTTTTATGACATTACTTTCGCTTTGAATGTTTTTAGCAGAATTGCATCTGCATGAATGATCTGATTGGATGATTGGGCATTGCTAGTGCCAGCCTCAATGAATTCAGGCCTTCCACTGCTACTTCCATTTCCTAAAGGCCTATCAATATTAACTCGCAAGATCTTTTGCTTTTCAACCTGTAACACGCGAGCTTGTGAGAAATTTGTACAAGACTGAAAGACCCCTCAACATATGTTACCAGATTTTAAAAGGAAAAATGTGAACCAAAAAATGTTCAGCATTATACTTATTGTGGCTAAAGCAAAGGGTAACAATCAAAGTTTGCCAAGATCTGCAAGAAATCCCAGGGATAGAAGGGACTTGAGTAACATTTCTAAGAACTCGATAGTTGTCACATTTCCTTTATATTCTTTTGCTGTTTATGTTTCATCTTCTTTTAAATTTGATTCCCCGTGCAAAATGACCTACAGCCGATGGTAATAAAGCAATGATATTAAAACGGGAAGCTTGCCATAGACAAGCAGAATAATTTTCCACAACATTTATTTCGTTTTGACTTAAGAAGAAATTTTATTCGAAGGAATGAATAGGAGGAGGAAAGAATATCTTCCTCAAGCAAAGCAACAAAAAGAAAATAAAACTATAATACCAGAAGAAGGGCATGAACTCACACCTCATGCACAAGAATCTGCTTGACAGCTAGAGCAAGCACATAATGGCTTGAGGTATAATCCTGCATACAAATAGAGAAAAAATATTTAAGTCAGAACCAGATTAAGGTACTTAACATGATTGAACCAAGAAGTTGTGAAAAATGCTTCAAACCTTAAAATTGACAAAGTCGCAGATTGGGGGATCAAATGATAGTGTTAAGTGATCTGCTACTTCATGTCTCAGACTATTCGACAGCATATCTGATTTCATGTTTTTATATGTTACAGAGTAAGATAACATTGTGCTAACTAATTGAGCAAGGTCATTTTTCTCTTTATCAGACAGTAATTGTAACGCAACCTGAACCAAAAAAAAAAAAAAATGAAGCAGTCATCAGAATCTCAGGTATCAATCTAAAGGAGACTAATGACAAGCACATTCGAAGAATAGGTGAAGCCCGTGAGAACTCTGAAAATCTGCCCAACTACAAATCACACCCCTCACGGGCTACAAGTCTTTACACAAGTGCCATGAGTATAAAAGTCCAAGCCCCAGTTGAAACTCAATAATCCTTATCCCAATAAAAAAGAAATATATAAGAGCAAAATGACAAAATTAAATGCAAATAACAACTAATGATAAAGATAACTATCAAAACTAAATTAAAACCAAATAGTTCCCAATAATGCTAAATATCCAAAATATCTAAAAATCCTAACTAATCACTCTTCATATCCATCATTTCTCCTCTGTTTGAAGAATTCGGCTCCTGATGAGTTAAATTCTTTGAACCAAACTTATCAGGTCTTTTCTTCGGCAAGAAAGAATTCCATGTGTACACAGTAAAAGTTATCATTCAAAAGAATAAAGTAAAATACACAAGAATCAAATGCGCAAGTATACTATACCTGCCTTTTATTACTCTTTAGTAATTGTAAAGGAGGAATTAGGAAAAGGGAATAAACAAAATAACAAGAAAAAATATTAGTACTGGAATAAGCGGATCACCGGTTTTATAGTCGGAGGGGACAGAATATGTAATAATGGAGAAATTAAGTCTTCTACAAGCGTACTAGCTGAAAAGTGCCTAGCAATATATGGCGGAATTTTGTAGTGCCAAGTATTCAAAATATCCATTTTTTCCGCCATCATTGCTCGATACCTGAACATCCATATACAACACTGTAGTAAGGCAACACAATTTCCAAAATTAATATTAAGTTCTACTAGCACAAGATATACCTTTGATAGGACCTTGGCCATTCAATGTTCGGCTTCTGAATTTGAGCTACCAGTCGATGTACAGTAATTGCTACAGGTGGCAAATAAACTGAAGAAAAGAAAGAGAGAATGAAGAGTGTGACTTCATTTTTGCAATAACTAAACAAGGGTGAAGTAGTCTTTTACCCTGAAGCGGCATTTGTTGTGTACGCATGATATATTGATGCAGTAGATCAGAATTCCAAGACTATTCAAGCACTTGACCTTCAACCAGATAGCGTTCAAAGTCAAGCATCCCACAGAATATATAGAATCACTGTAATGCTCAATGGATAAATGCTTACAGTCTTCTGCATCACTGGGTCATGATAATTGAGATGTAAAATGTTTTCATGAATTCCATCAAGAATCAAATCATAATCACCACTGCACATTAATCGACAATACTAATGAGCATATAATTACTTTGAACAAAAAAGGATACATGATTTTCACAATTATTTATGACCTACCGGCTTGATACAAGGGGAGTACAAGGAGTTGACTTCAAAAAGCATGCTATTGTGAGATTTTCTTTCTGTCTTGGTTTTTTTCTTTGAAAAACCTGAGGAGAAAAAAAAAGGTCCAAGGAAAAACGATGTTGAAATTAATACTCTGAGACTCTTAATAGCAGGGAAGGGATAACTCCAACAGGCTCTAGCAAATCACCTCCTTCCAAATGTCCAGAACATTCTTTGACATGTCTTTCCGGCCAACCACTTGAGAACCAATATCAAACTGAGACATTAAAGCATGTGATTGTTGAGAAGTACTATATAGATAAAAAGTTTTGCAAAAAGATAAAAGACAGTTCTTTTGCTATTAAAAGTTACTCTACAATTCTAAGAATTAGGGCACAAAACCTTGAAAACCCACTGATAGCATCCTTCATGACATTAACTTCAATGAAAAATATTATCGCAGCTAAAAACGTTTTCTTTACAATCAACTAAAGAAGCCAACATTCGACCTGTTTTAGACGTATACTCCATCTAACTTGTTAGATAATCCGCTAAGTTTTTCAACAACAGACATCACTGAATACTAGGATCAGAATAGACATTCTTTCTCTCTATTGTAGTAGTTTTAAGGCAGCAGTTTTGAGGTAAAAAATGGAAACAGATATTTGTGATTAACTAGCATCATCCTATAGCAGACAAAAGTCACTGATAAATACACAAATGAAAATTATAAGCATTGCAAAATGCTACCGCAACTGCAAGTTAGGGTTGATCCGTTGCTTAGAACAAGGATATTTCCATGCAACATAAACATCCTATATCTATGAACAAATCCTAGAATTTTCTTCTGAATTGCTTTTTCAGATGGAAGTCTTACCACATTGAGGGCTTCTTTCTTCTTGCTGAGAAATTGGAGCGTATTTAAGCATGAGCGTATATCACATTCTGTAAAAGAAAGCCAAGAGAATAAGTGAAGAGCCAAATAATTATAGGGATAGCTTGTAGAATATGAGTCGCAAAAGTCATGATAACACCTACAGTCATCACCGAACAAAAAAGAATTAGCATGGGTTGTCTTGGTTATGTGAGAATGATTTTAACAAAACAATATTAACTAAATTAACTTTTTCATTCAATTTGCAAACCTCAAAAAAGGGATGAAAGAAATAAGAAACCGACCTGTATATTCTGCTAGGGCAGTAAGTGCGATGGCATTAGCTTTCATCCCCTCCTTGTTACATATATATTTAAGCCTGCAGCCATTAGTAATTAAATAAAGAAAATATATGATAAGCAGAAAAAATGCATAGAGAAAAAAGCTTATTAGATGTCTCGCTAGGCACAAAACATGGAAATTAGAACCCATAACCATTTAACCACCTTGGTTTAGCTTTATTACGATCCAAACTATACCCAAACATTTGAGATAATGAATATGAAGGTTGAGTCATTGGGTAAACTTCTGCAAGTATAGATTTTTGTGGGTCAACACAAAAGATAACCATTAATCCACTCATCATCACCTGATTCTTTATGATTGTGAAATAAAGGGTTAATACAAACTTTGATCCTTCAAGCTTGCCCTTATTTTGTGATCTTTCAAATTTTAAACCACAAAATTTTGGTCCCTCAAGTTTCTTTTCATTTGAAACATTGGTCCCTATAATCTAATAAAAACTTAGACCATTTACCTCTAAAGAGACCAAAACCTATGATTTGAAATTGAAGGACCAAAACCAAAACGAAGGCAAACTTAAAAGACCAAAGATTATATTAACCCGTGAAATAAACTAATATAACCTAAAAAAATCTAAATGTATTGATAAAAAAATTATAACATCTATAATAGCTTCATGAAACCTATGTGGGTGACGTGAGTTCAAGTAGAGTTGGTTTTATCAATACAAACAAATTCAAAATGAATATTAGAAAAATGGTGAAATGATCCAAAAGCATCAAAAAGTTTCACTATATGATTTAATATATAATTAAAAATATTAGGCACGTAATGTGGGTTAAAGGGTGGGTAGGGGCTAACACTAATAAATAGGTCATGGGCCATTTGATAGCCTATCAAAAGTTTTAAGTGGATAAATGATTAGACAGTTCACAAATGATCAAATCATTTGCCACCCATGCCTACAAGTAACGTTAAGAAACTACTGGAGCAGGAAGAGACAACATTCTTGTGACCGACCCAGTGTAATTAGAACCATAACCAAAATCAAGTGACTCAACTACTAGTTCATACCATAAAATACAATAAACAATAGATTTCAATAGTAAAACTACACCAGAAACCTTTTTTTGGGGGGGGGGGGTGGGATATTAACAGTTAATCATCACCTGCTTACCACGCGACTAACTGTTGGTTGAACAAAAATGTGAACCCTGTAAATAACATTTTTTCCCAAAATAAACGCAAAGTATTAAATACAACGGAAGACATAGCTGGCATAGAAAATAAGCTATAGGTAGCATGGTTAATTTTCCAATCCTTCATGAAACCGGAAGCCAATTCATGAAAAAACATTCTGGTGGGAAAAACTTAGTCTAGGTTAAAGAAAAAAAAAGTGAATTATACAAAAGTGAACTGAGTGCTCAAGACTTACTTTGCTACCTGACGCAATGGTCTCAAGGCAGGGGCATATAGGTCATTGCAAATGCAAATTACCTGTATTAACCGTCCATGTTAGTAATGCAAATCATTATTATCTAGTGATGACGTAAGAGAATATGAGCATATAAATCTCACCGGTCTTGAAAGTGATGCTTTCTTATGTCCCTTCTTCCAGGATCTCCTTCCTGTTTGCTCTTTCACCAAATTTTCCCTTCCCGCATCAGGCTTCTTTTCAACAGAAACCTGCATGGCATAGAATACTTAAGCTACATGAATTCCCACAATAAACATTTTCAACAACAGTCCATTCTAGTACGTTTTGGCAGAGACAAGGTGCATAAAGTTTGGCATTTTGCGCAATTAATTTATAAGAAGAAATTTCGTAGGACAACAGAAGAAATAGGAATTAGTGGGAAGCCAAGAGATCCACTGAAAAAAATGACACAGGGAAAGGTGTTAAAAGTTTAACGAAAATATGTAATCTTTTCAGCTTCACATATGAGAAACGGAGAGCCAAAGAGAAGATAGGTGCAATCCTAAAGATAACAAAGCAGGGACAAAGATAAGCCCTTGAAGATGCAGGCACTTGGCTCCAAAAAGATATACCAGACTCGCAAAAACAACTGAAGCTTTATCATATGTATATTCCAGCTTTACTACCAGGAGTGATCTGACTTGTACAAGCTGTAAACTCCTTGTAAACATAGTTGTGTAAGTCAACATTATCACTAAAACATTCTGAATTTCAAGTTGTCTTTTTCTATTTTTGATAGAAGAATTTCAAGTTCTCTTCAATTTAATCAAGTTTTGCAAGAGTAACAAATATGTAATCATAACAAGTATGAATCCTGATCATGACAAACGTGAATTTACCTGTAGAACCACATGAGGATGCATAAAACCTTATCAGGCATTCCTTCTCAACCTTATCTTCTGATTTTGCATTATATTTGTAACGATGAGGTATGAATGCAACCAGTGAATGTATGAATCAATAGTTACATGACATGAACAAGCAAGATTAAACAAGCTTGATTAAAATACGAATTTTAAACATTCAAGAAGCCAACCAAAAAAAAAAAAAAGCTCAGCATGACTACATCAAAGTCTGATGAGACAAGTCTTATTGAGGGATATCAGTGATGGAAACAATCTACAAATTACCATCTTTAAAAGAACCTCCACAGCACCCTTTCCATCTGAAAGTGCCCCATCAATTTCATCCACCACCTGAAAAGAAAATCATGAAGTCAGTATTTTTTCACCTCATGCAATGCTGCTTGCTGCAAATCAAATTTGCTGGAAGTCATAGCCATACCAGGCATTTTGGTCTTGAATCAGACATGACAGAGTTCATCTGAACCACATCAAGGATCTTTGATTCAATTGTTGATGTACTTCGATCATCGCTAGCATTAACCTGCATAATGGAAAGCTCTTGTTTTGTGTACTAAAGTCTTAAGAATAAGATAAGAGAGATAAAGATAGATGGTAAATAGTAAAAAAGATTAAAAAAACAGAAAAAATAATGATCTGAAAACCGTACTGATTTAAAATTTAGTTCGTTTTGTTAAAAAACTCACAAAGCATATCATACATATTTTAATTAAAAATGACAAATATAACATTAAAAAAGAATTCACATATACATAATTATATTAAATTATTAAAAAAAATTGTTTTTGATAATTTTCAAATTCAATCTGTTGAAGCAACAGCAGCCAGTTCATTCATTTCTTGACTAGATGTATCTAATGCTGTGATATGAAAGGACCATACTGGCAAAAGGATTAGCTCCCAGGTCAACTGATCAAACAAGCTGATCTGATCTAGTTTCAAGAACCATGGTGATAACAACCACTGAACAGCAGTAAGATATAATCCCAGTTATAAAAGTTGTTTGAGAACAAAAGAACCACCAAGCAATTTTACATGATTATGTCAAAGACCTTAAAACTAATTGTCACAATAATTATGGAATATTATAATTTCAAACAAGTTGTAAAATTATTAAGTATAACCAATCAAATGATACTAAAAGCATAAGACACCAGCAATCATATGAAATTTGGATATAAAAGCAGATCAGGGAAAAAACAGCTATGCAACTTGAAAACTCATGATTTTGCATGTTCATAACATTATAGATCCATACCTCCACCACATGATATCCACAATGTCTGGCAGCTACATGTGCAAGTGTAGTTTTTCCAAGACCCGGAGGACCGCAAAGCAAAAGGATCTGGAGTTATTATAAATGTGAAACTTTAGTAACCAATGTCTTTCAACAATCATTACTTAACCCAACATCATAAATAACAAATGTAAATTAACCAATAAAACTTCTGCATAAAAAGAAATAGAAGCATACAAATGGAATATATGGAGTGACTAAAAAATCATACTTAAAGCTCAGAATAAGGAACTAGAGGGGGACGTTTAAAGTCATCAAGACCTTACAACCTCAACAAATGATAACCAGTATTACCTTCTGCTCTGGTGGACCAGTATGCTTTGCTTTCCTATTCAACATATCCTGAACACTCTTTGAATTACCACTTTCTTCCATACTTTTAGAATTTTTATATCTCTTGTTACTCCATTTTGGGCCTCCACCCATTCTTTGAAATTTTGAATCTAAAGGTTTCTGATTTTGGACAACAGTAGAATGTCGTTTCAAAGCAGAAAAAACTTCATCTGATGTACTGCAAATCTCGGATCCAAATACACTAGAATCCCACTGCTTCAACCACAGAAGTACCTGTCCTAGGACAACAATCAAACCAATTAAGGTCAACAAGCACCAAGGAAACAAAAGAAAATAATTTTTAACCAGAACATTTGCAATTAACAGCGTTTGAAATGCAAATGCTAATTATGTACCTCACGATTTGTATGTTCATCACTAAGAAGCTCAGTGAATGAATTTGGGGTATATTTATCTACCCAAAGTTGCTCATGGACAATTGGTGTTTCAGGAACATCCGGAACATTTTGACATTCAGAACTAGCCTTCAATGTCTTCAGCAACATGAGAATTAGCTTTAGATATATCATAAGTTATGTTTAATGAGAAACTTCAGAAGTTATTAGAGTAAAAAACCAAATTTTTAGGCGCTTCAAGCTAAGAACAGACAATTTCAGAACGCAAACCTTAGTGAAAGCCTCTTGATCCAATTTCTCAAATAGAATACCAATGGGTTCTAATATAAGACCTACAAGCAGCAAAAATCCAAGTTATCAACTGCATCAAATTAGAAACTTTGAAAATACTGAACACCTTTTGGTATGCATATGGTTTTCCTGTCTAATCATAAGCATGACGTTAAATTAAGTCTACATTTATGGGTCCCTTATCTAAAATTGCAGTCTGTGCGGTCAATGCATTCACAGTCAGATCTCTAAATAAAAAAACAAATATGAAATTTGGGAAAAAAAAATCAACTTAAGTTGCTAGAATATAAAGGCAATATGAGGAAATATTGTGATTCATGAGAAGCAAGAAGACAATGGCAGAGAACCAGACTAATTTTGCTTCTTTAAGATGCAACGTATTACTATCCCCCCAAAAAAAATGTTATCAGCCTGGAAGCATCTAAAACTCTTCTGATATTCAATTGAACCAAATGTATTACCAGAGAATTTCAATGTTACGAAATTTGTAACTGAAGGCCATAGTAAAAAAATTGTGAAGCAGGGACTACACAACAAAAACAAAAAACAAATGTTCACTCGCGTTCAGATTCAAGGTTCGACTACTCATGTCATGTGCATAATTCATGTGTTTGATAGACCGTGTCTTCTATTGATCTTCAAAAATAATCTACCCATGATCATTATCACAGAGAACCAAAACAGAATATCAATCAAATCCAGGCCAACTCTCTGTTTTTGTTTTTCACACACAACAGATGCTTATAATAACCAAGAGGTCGCATGCCTAATGACCTTAGATGTCTTGGAGAAGGCATAGCACATATCATATGATACTTTCACTTCAAATATCTCACGACGGCTTCCAAGGTCCATCTCTGCAAAGCTTATATGGTGCACAGGTGCAGAGAAGATGGGCCTTGAAAGGTAATGAACGTAATGTATCACTGGAATGACAGTGTATGAAATCCTACCATCAGTATTTGCTCTCACATCCAGTTTCTTCAACCGTTCCTCCCCTTCCAACCTGTCTAATCGCGCATAAACCCTGTCGCCGTTGGGTGCAGTGATCGGCATACACTCTCCATCGATTTCCGACGCATACCTGGATAACATCTTCTCCTTCACAAAGCTCGCTTGCTCAGCCACTGCAGACTCGCTACCCTTGGGTGGCGAGTAACGAAGCCAGTCCTCATCAGATGCCCGCGCCGACTCGTCAGTCCTGCACCTTTTCTCCACTGACAGCTCCACAGCCTCTGAAAGCGATCCATTCGGACTAACCGACCTCGATCGCTTATGGCCAATGACTTGAATTTCAGAGTCGAATTGAAGATCTGGGGATGATGGTGGTTGTGCTGGTGGTGGCGCTTCTTCGTCTTCGTAAGGGCAGGGTTTCGGTGGCTCCAGGTCTGGGTAGTCTTCGAGAAGACGCGCATTGGACTCCAGCAATTCCAGCTCTTCTGGAAGTGGAATGTCCATATCCATGTCCATTTTGAATTTGAGATGGAAGACAGTCAACAGTGAAGAGAGAAACTTGCAGATTTCAGCTCGGAATAGGCGAGACACCTGCCATCGAGAAAGAAGCGGCAAGGAATTTTTTTGGCGGGAAAAGGAAGTTGCGAAATTCCGAAACTACCCTTGTTCGAGGAAAAAGAACTTCAGCCGAGTAAATTATCGGAGAAACTTGAAATAAGTAGCAGCTTTAAACATGGAAATAAGAAATTTGCAGTCATCTACAGCTCTTCCTTCTCCTATGCCAACTACTATGTCACCATCAAGATTGTTGATAAATCATATTTTTACGCAAGTACGAGACCTTCCCTTCAAATGATAAATTTTAAATTGATTGCAGAGAAGAGCTTTTTTGTTTTTTTCTAGCTTCTAGCAAACCGGCCCATCGTCTCGACATTATCGAGTTCTTTTTCAGTTTTTCGTTGAATAGTAGGAAGAGAACTCTGTTTCTTTGGAGGGTTCTGCCTCTCTTTTTCTTTGCTTTCCTCCCAAAACACTGACCTCCATCGATCACCATCTCCCCTCTTTTGCCACCAATCACTTTGCCTTCATCTAACCCCCCCATCATCTTCCTCGGCTTGGAGAGATCAGTCTCTCTCTTGTACCATCGCCTTGCGACTGTTCAACCGCCACTGTCTTCTTTTTTTCTGCTGTGTCACTGCCTTACACCGCCATTGTTTCTAGTTCTTTGCTGCCACCATCAAATTCGCACCTCAATCAATCTACCATCATCGTCATTTCAGCCTCTGCCTTGCTCTATATTCCTATTCCTAATATAATATAAAAACAGAATGGAAGTGTAATATAAAAGGGGACATTGGCTCGGGGAATACTTTTTTGTAATGAAACGAGGCGACAGGCGTTCAGCAAGATGGGGTCGAAATTCTTGTTGATGGTGCCTCTTCTCACAGAACCACGCTCTACTTCAGAAGTAGTGGGATACTTAGTTATTCGACGCAACGTGAATGTTCAGGCGGACTCCTTTCTGGCTAGACGGGCATTCTCTGTTGCTCCAGGACTTCACTTCTTATCAGCAAGGGAGTTCGAAGAGCTTTGGCGCCGAGGAAACAATATTTGAGCTTGCTGTCGTTGTTCCTCCCACTTCTGAAACACAGGGCACGTGGAAGCCTAGTTTCTCGCGCAGGCGAAACATGACAGTATGGCGCGCGATCGTCAGGAGTTCACACAGCAGCATCCAAGTTGAAACATTCTCTTAGTCCCACATCGTCAAGACCAGAAAGAGGCAGCCACTGGGCAGAGTATAAAATAGACATAATGTACCGTTTCAAGACTTACATACCTGGACGGAGCCAATGGGTGATCAAGAAGGCCCATGGCTTAGGTTGGTGACCTCCATTGCACGTATGGGAGGGGCGCCACCCTAAGGTCTCCCCAAGTGGGAGAGCCTACGTCGTAATTTGTGGCAGTGGGGCCTGCATTCGTGCGGCCCCTCCCTGAAATAATCCTAGCTTCGCTATAAAATTTTTGTGTGGTTTTTGGTCGCCAATTGATCAACAGGCTTCGTTCATTTGTGTTTGTTCCGTGTGTTGTGGTGGGGTTCCATAAAATGATCGATTTATTTCCACATGATGCTGGAGTGAGCCCAGTTAATAGGCCCAATTGTAATCAACCACGTCAAAGTATGGCTCACTCATGTAAGGATAAATAAAATGGAATTATTGCTCACATCACACCGCAGCAAATGTCATCCTTAATATTTTAATATAATTTTTTTTTATTTTGATTCTAAATATAAGATTCTAATTTATTTTATTTTTTATATTTATGTATTTTTTTTAAAGTAGTTCTTCTAACAATGTTAATTCTAACAAATATATTTTATTAGCAAGGATATTTTAGAAAAGATAAATTTATTATAAATAACTTATATTCCTTTTTTAATCTTCTCAAATTACTTAACCAACTCTTCTAATTAGTATGAGTTAGTATATTCATAATTGTGAAAACAACGGCACAACATTGTGAGTTAAAATGAACGAGGACCGAAATTGACATCATCAGGATCGAAGGACCATAAGCACAATCAATCCTTTACTATTTTAAGATTAGATGCATCACCTTCCATCTCTTTCCGCATGTTTCTCATGGCTCAAACATAATTTGCTCATCCATGCAAAGAACGAAAATCTCTGTCCATTATCTCTCTCTCTCTCTTTGTCGTTCTTCTGCTTTCCGATCGATCGACTCTGTAAAATTCTGGGATTCGTTGGTTCGGGGTTGGGGTTTTTGAAGATATGGGACAAAAATCTCTGATCTACAGCTTCGTTGCTCGAGGCACCGTGGTTCTCGCAGAGTACACTGAATTCACGGGAAACTTCACGACTATCGCCTCTCAATGCCTCCAGAAGCTTCCTTCTTCCAATAACAGATTCACTTACAATTGCGATGGTCACACTTTCAATTATCTCGTCGAGAATGGCTTCAGTACGTTGCCTTCATATTTGGAATCTTCATAATTATCAAAAATGGTTCCCCCCCCCCCCCCTTCGTGGAGGTGATCTTTTTATTAAGATCTCTCATTTTCCCTTTTCCTCTTCGGGGTGATTTGCTTTCGGCTGAGGCATATATATGAATGGCTGATCCTTTGAACATGCATGGATGTGGTTTCATCTGATTCTTTGTATTCTTAAGTTAAATATTTGGCTAATTTGGCTGATGCTTCTGATAATCGTGCATGCGTTAACTAAAAAGTGTCTGAAAAATAATGGAATTGGAATACGAAGTGAGATTTTAGAGACAAAAATCGCCTTTGCTTGATCGAAATTCCGCTGTTTTCTCTCACTACTGATTGAAATATATATGAAACATACTTATCTTGTTGAAACTGAGTATAGACATGTTTTGATTCCTCATGCATCATGGTAATCATAATTTTTTTCCTTATTATGAGCCATTAATGCTATAAATTTCGTATGTTTTGGAAAGTTCTGTACACGCAGATTGAATTTCACTAGAAGTAAGGAAACCTAAGAGGATTAGTTTATTTAATGTACACAATGGAAAAAAGTCATTGACGAAGAATGCATAAGCTATTCGTTGTGATATGTGTTAGAAAAGCAAGGAATAAAAGATGAATGATTTGAAATGTACCTTGGTGTCATCGAAAAGTGAAAAAAACGATGATTGACTTGCTGTTAATGTGGTAGCCTATTGTGTGGTGGCGGTTGAATCTGCGGGAAGGCAGATTCCCATTGCGTTTCTTGAGCGCATCAAAGAAGAATTCTCCAAAAAGTATGGCGGAGGTAAAGCAGCCACTGCTTCAGCTCGTGCCCTCAACAAAGAATTTGGGTATATCAATTATCACTGATTAAGTTCAATAAATCTCCATTAATTATTGTTTAAGGCATTCGTTAATTAGAAGAGAGTTGATGTCTTATAATTTGTAGGCCTAAGTTAAAAGAGCAAATGCAATACTGTGTGGATCATCCTGAAGAGATTAGCAAACTTGCCAAAGTGAAGGCTCAAGTTTCTGAAGTCAAGGGTGTCATGATGGAGAACATTGAGAAGGCAATAATTAACATCCTCAATTAATTAGTTCCCATGCTCTAAATATTTTATGCATCATCATCGTACAGTGTCTCAGATCAAGAGATTTCTTTTCACAGGTTCTTGATCGTGGAGAGAAGATTGAATTGCTAGTGGATAAGACTGAAAACCTCCGTTCACAGGTTTGCTCGTGCATTAAAGCGTATATAGCCATTTTCAATTCTTTATTCGTACTTAATCACACGAATTTGGAAAACAGATTCAAGATAAAAAGATTCTTTTATTTGAAAAAAGTTTATTCCAATCATATTCAATACTAATGAATGATTTCATGGATTTGTTAATGTTGGTGAATACGTGCAGGCACAGGATTTTAAAACGCAGGGCACAAAGGTGAAGAGGAAAATGTGGATTCAGAACATGAAGATGAAGTTGATTGTTTTTGGTATTGTGATTGCCTTATTTTTGATCATTTTTATGTCTGTTTGTCGTGGCTTCAGCTGCATAAGTTGATCCTACTGGCTAGTTTTGCTTATTGTTTCTTCCCCAACCATCCCATTCAGACCCATTACATTCATTTTTGTCCCTTACACATACGTTTGTGCTGCCGTTTATTTGCAACTTCTGTGGAATATGATCTTTTGTTGTTGGCTTTCTCTCTTCTTTTCTATGGTAATTGGTATACCTTCCTGCTCTATAAGCTCCCCCCCCCCCCCAAATTTTTGCTAATTACGTTATTTAGAGATATGTATATGCAGAGAGAAAATCACGTTCAACCAATTCAAAATTTAAAAAATTGATTGGCCAAAAAAAAATTGATAGTCACTAATCTTTAAAACTAATGCTCCTTTAAGGGGGAAAAAAAAAGCGTACGACCTAATATAGTCTCATTAATATAACAAAGGCATTTCAAGCTTATCATTGGAGAAAATATCATCACAACATCAACAAACCTAAATTTTAAAGCATGAAAAATGTATACTAATGATGGTAGTAGCCGTAATATTTATTTTCAGGCGAAAAAGGTCGTAGTAATTTAGTTTTATAACTATTCGGGGAGATTTTGATTTTAAAGATATTTTGGCTGTCAATTTTATAGGCCGGCATTTTTTCATAAAATTATTTGAAATCCTTTTTTTTTTTAATGATCAACAAGAATCCAATTATTAACAAATTTCTTTTTACGGTTAATCTGAGAATTGTGTGGACATTCTGAATGATGAACACCTATATCAAAATCGCAACCGGTTTAAAAGTTAGATCAACGTCGTCTCGTGTTCAAAGGCCTTCGAATCATTTTTAGTCAATCAAAGCAACGTGTCATCAACTGAGAAACATGTAGTTTTAACATCTTCAAAGTTCAAACAAAAGAACCTGTAAGATTTTTGCTCCTTTAAGATTCTTGTTCCTCCTCCGTCTAATTTTAATTTTAAATAAGAGACGCATGCAGTTTCAATATCTTCATTTAATATGAGAGTGATGTTAAGTCGTTGCATGAAAATGTCTAAATGCCACTAAAGCCTCAGGCAACGAGAGAAAAAAAAGATTTAGATCTTAAAAGACTTGAATCAAATTAAAATTTTGAGCATGCCTTTACCTTTTTTATTCCAAATAAATAATCTTCCTCCATGGTCACCTATCACGGTGATCTAGGATCTGTTTGGATTAGGAGTAAGAAGCAGCTTATTTTTAATATGATATTTAAAAAAGTTAAATTTGATGATATGAATTGTGTTTTGAGTAAATTTTATAAAAGTGGATTTTCCTGCAATCTTCCTTCTCTCCATTTGTTGGCTTGGGATAAAATTATTGCCGATAAATCACAAGGTGGCCTTGGTATTAAAGACTTACGGAAGCAAAATGAAGCTTTTAGTGATGAAGTTATATTGGAATCTAATTACAAATAAAGAAGCTTTGTGGGTAAGAGTTTTGAGATCCCGATACTAATGTGAAAATAAGGAGATACCCACTGTTAACAAGAGAGCTAATTCTTCTTTGACTTGGAGTAGTATTTGCACCATGTGGACTTCGCTTAAATCAGGGGTAGGAAGGAAAGTGGGTAACAGCAGCACAACCTCCTCCTGGTTTGATAACTTGTCAGAGCTGAATGGGCCCATCATTGATTTAATTCTAGGGCTTGAGGGGTTTATCAACCATGAGGATTAAATGTTGGACTATATTAACCACTGGGGAGAGCAGGACAGACAAAAACTTAGTCGTTGGTTCTCCTCGGTTGTTATTGCTCGAATTACTTGTGCTCACCTACCTAGAGCACAAAGAGGAGAGGATATATATTTCTGAAAACTATCTTCGATGGGATTTTTTCTATGAAATCTGCATATAAGTTTTTTTTTTGTAGGTGTGAGACAACCAGATTTTTTCTATGAAATCTATATATATAAGTTCACGCCAAGAACGATTTCTGATGTCGTTCACCCCAAGAACAACTTGTGTATAATTTGAAAGTCTTTCATGCCAAAAGTGATTTTAAGTGCAGTATATTGATAAATACTTTTAAAAGTACAGCATTTTGGTATATAATTTTATTGCTTATAGTATTTTGGTAAAAAAAAGCCGAGACAGAATTCACAGCGGAGAAGTGATGGAGCTGTGATGTCTAGCGGCAAAGAATAATGAGCATGGGAGAGACCAAGCACTTTGAGTGAATAATGAGAGAATAATGAGGGAAGAATGAGAAGAAAATGATTTGACAAGTAACTATCATTTTAAAAGTCCACCAATCATAAGACACTTTCAGTTCAAAAGCACCTCAAATTAGCTTAACAAAATCACTTGTTTCAATTCCACTTTTGGCCCATAAGTAGGATGGGCTAAAAGCTGACCCAAACAGGTTCTAATTTTTCAAATATGCTTATGGTAAAAATAAGTAACTTCTAAGCCTCGAATTGCTGAGCCAAACACTCTTAGAGCTATCAATGATCAGTGAATTGTTTGAAAAAGAGCGGCTAAATTGGGATTTGATTCACCGATTTTTTATTCTCCGAAAAGTAAAGTTCTTAGTATCTTTGAAGGTATACTAGTTTAGTTCTAGTTTAACATATACTCCTCCGATTCTAAATATAAGATCTTTTTTGTAGTGTAATTTATACTACGAAAAGCGTCTTATATTTAAGACTGGATGAGTAATAAATAGTGACTCAAATCTTGAAATTGACTGTGTGTAGGGTATATAGTTGTTAATTTTTAACTTGTTAATAATAAAAAGCAAAGTCATTTTTTTAAGGATATTTTATTATTTAGTTCTGAGTTCTCTCACAAAACAGTTGTCATTTTTAAAGTTTTTTTTATACAAAGATTCAGAGGACTCATAGGATCAAGATATGTTTTCAGAACCTAAAAACACTTATAGAAGTACTTATAGATCACCATGACCAAGATTCTCATCATATTAAGAGTGGGATTATAAAGTTTATTTGCCATTCTTTCAGAAATAAGTTGTCACTGTGTCAAAAAAGATGACGTAGCAGTTGTTATTGCGTCAAAGTAACCATAAAGCTCCTGTATGATTAATACTTCTCAGAATATCACTTTCCGTCCAACGCACCGAAGATAAATCTAGTTATTTATGAAATAAGTTGTTCCTGCCTCAAAAAAAAAAAAAAAACAGAGGAAAGGGAATTATAAGCCGAGTGGTTTTAAAGTCTTTCGGAAAAAAAACAGCATGGCCAAGGCCTTCGGTGATCCGCGCTAACCTGTGAAAGTGATTTGTAAATAAAATTAGACGAGCATTTTGTGGTACACTGGTACTTCCCTTTATTAGCTCAATGTTATTGACGTGCAATAAAATCTCACCTAATTCTGATCAGCGGAGTTGAAAAAGATTTCAGCCCAACATTATTTAAAGATTTAAAATATCACAAGTGATTTTTAAGTGGCATGATGTGGACGAATCACAGTTCGTTCATGTAACGAGTGGTCAGCGAAAATATGCCACCAGAAGCAATCTTGTCGTGTTTTGGCATTCCATGCCTCCCACTCGTTATTTCAAGGACGCGCCCATTTCGCCCAAAATATAATAATGCATGTATCAAATCAAAAGAAAATATAAACAAGCCAATTTTCCTCCGCTCCTTATTAGCCACGTATCCCTTTAACGACCACCCTTCGTAATTCGTATTGACCAAAACGGAAAACTGGGTGCCGCTTTCTTACCACTTTCACTGGTCCACCACCCATACCACCACTATCAAATTCTACTCCCCTCTGGAGATTTTCCAAACTTTCGCTCTCCAGGAAAAAAAAGGTTGTACAGTTCCGCCATGGACGCGGCTTCACAGCTCGTCTACTGCGGAATCGATCCCTTTCGTCGCCGGTCTCCTTCTCAACTCTCAATTAGCAGGAACAAGGTTCGGTTTCGCCGGCGGCTCAGTCGGGTTACAGCGGTTTCTGCGGAACCCAGACCCACGCGGACTTCGTCTCCTCCAGCAAGTAATGTCAATGGCTCATCCAGGTCTTCGCCGCCAAAATCCGTCAATGGTGTCTCTACGGTAACTTATCAGACCCTGAACTTGACTTCTTCCTTGGGTAGATATTGCTCTCTGGAATGTCACCGTATTCACACTTGTGAGTAAATTTAGCAACTTCTAGGTTTAGTCGCTTAAGAGCGCTCTAGATTCAATTCACGGGGAATTGCAATATACTTCTTTAAGCCACTTCGTAGTGGTGTGTATATATTTTTAGTTAGGCTTCTGCAATCATTTGCTTTGGGACATGATAATAGATTGGCTTCTTAGCTATGAAGTTTTAGTGCCTCTATCTGTTGATAAAAATGATCGTGTTTCTATGCTATTTTTGATGTTGTGGCTTGTCATCTCCCTTCCTTTCCTCCTTCTTTAAATTCATATTTATTTGATCAGGAAGACAGCTATCATTCTCAGATACTTTACCACGCTTTTTTTAATAAGATTTCCTCTGCTATTTTAAACTTTCTTGGGGTTGTTTTTAAAGTTCTTGCCTTATCGGTTGGTCGAATCGATGGTCTGATTTCCCATGTTTTGGTTTATACTTAGTAGTATTGGATTTAACCGAGCTAACTGTTGCAACCAGCAGAAAATTGGCGATGTTTCTATTTAGTCAGTATTGGATTTGACCTGAACTAACTACTGCAACTGGCAGAAAATTGGCGATGTTTCTCAGGAGATTAAAAGGGTCAGGGCACAAATGGAAGAGAACGAGCAGTTGGCATCACTCATGAGAGGCCTTCGAGGACAAAATTTAAGAGATTCATTGTTTGCTGAGGATGACGTCCAGCTTCGTCTTGTTGAGGTATTTACAGTCACTAATGCTATGTCTAACTCTACTAAACTAATTATGATACCTCGTTCTAACTACTGAGTGATATTTCCGAGGCTTCTATATTTGTACAGCTACTTGTTGTGAGTCTGAGCTTGTAATTTTGTTGCAAATGAAAGCCATTGTGGTAACTTACGCGGGGAAAAATAAATTGAAACTATCAGTCTGCAATTCATATACAATCGAATTGTGACTTGCGCACATTTGAAAAGAGAAACGGTTAGATTTATTCACAAATAGAATAAATCCTGAAAGCTGGAAATTGTATAGAAGACAGTGCAGGGTAAAATCCTGAAATGTTTAAGGTAGCACTTTGTGTTGGCTTAAATTTGGTTAATTAAATGGATATCTTGTATAAAACTA